GGGGGGCTGCCGGGTCAGAGGGATGTAGGGGTCGGGGGCTGGCTGGTCAGAGGGATGTGGGGGTGGGGGGGCTGCCGGGTCAGAGGGATGTAGGGGTCGGGGGCTGGCTGGTCAGAGGGATGTGGGGGTGGGGGCTGCCGGGTCAGAGGGATGTGGGGGTGGGGGGCTGCCGGGTCAAAGGGATGTGGGTGTGGGGGACTGCCGGATCAGTGGGATGTTTTGGGTGTCATGGGCTGCCGAATCAAAAAGGATATTTGGGGAGTCATGGGCTGCCGGGTCAGAGGGATATTTTGGGTGTCATGGGCTGCCGAATCAAAAAGGATATTTGGGGAGTCATGGGCTGCCGGGTCAGAGGGATATTTTGAGTGTCATGGGCTGCCGAATCAAAAAGGATATTTGGGGAGTCATGGGCTGCCGGGTCAGAGGGATATTTGTGTCGGGGGCCGCGGGTGGGGAATAGATATTTTAATCAGACTCCAGATGTGCTGAACTACTGCCTAAGTGATTTCCCCCCAAAAGATTATAACATTTGGATTAACATTTCTTGAATAAAAGTAAGGCTCATTTCTAAATATAATCATCTCCATATGATTATAAGACAGAAACAGTACTACTCACGAAACTTTGGCCCGTAGTAAGATTGGGGAACATAATCCACTCACACAACGCTAGCGCCTCGTTCCGGTAAATTGTCCCATGCTGGGGTGGGAGGGGGAGGTGGGGTGCTGGGGGTTGCAAACGAAGCACCCTCACGTTTCTTTGAAACTCTGCTCCAATGTTTGTTTTCAGAATTGCACCAAGACAGCCCGGCACAGTGCACCACATGTCTCTTGTACAGTATTCAACTTCGGTGATCAATGGCTTGTGATTTCCTCTGTTACCGTCGATATCCCTGACAAGCGTTTCATAGAACAATGAGCACATCACAGAACCTGTGGTCTCATGTAGTCCAAATGCCTTTCATCTGAAATTGAGACAAACTCTATACCTCTGTGTTCGAAAGCCTCATACTCCAACTTAAGCGCGCCTGATCTCTGTTGCTGTCGTATCAAATGTCCAGTAATTTTGTTGGCATTGAAGAAAACTCACTTTGTGCGAGACGTCTTAAGTGATTAGCAAAATTTCAGCTGTAAAATAATTTCCATTCCGAAGAGATCGAAGAACCCAAATTCCCCAAAAGATGCCGCAAATTTTTATTAACGAGGTCAATCCAATATTAGAACAGGTACTGATTTGAGATCGATATCTGTGATCTGCTGATCGATTGCACATTAGTTAGCATCACTGTCAACTGATCGATCCTACATGAGCTGGCATCGCTGCCGACAAGCGATCGGTGCGATAAACTAAAGAACAAAACTAGAACCCCCCCCCCCCCCCCCAAAATAAATATGAACATGAGCCCGTGGACAGATCGGTTCGGATAATCGCTGGAGATTAATTCATACATGGCATGGAGATGCCAACCGATTACTGGCGGGTCACGTGACAAGGATAACGGCGGGAAAACACAGCACAAACAATCACGGGGAGACTAGAAATAACTCACAAAAACAATGGCGGCGGAAATGCGTGAACTCCCCAAGTCAGGGGCGCGCAGGGGTCCGAGACAGCCAAGTAAATCACTCGAGTCCCTGGGTGCACGGAGGCGGGCGACCCCCCCCCCCCTTAAAGGGACAGAAATTTTTAAAACTAAAACTTCGTTAGATCCAGTTATTTTGAAATAAGTCGGGCTCAACATTTGGATTTGCGTTGGGTCCTAACAATAATTTACCTCACGGTCCTGGTCCCATCTACAAAAGTAACCTGACCAAACGTGTATTCAGGAAACGCCCTTAATAAGAATCCCAATGAGAACCCCCCCCCCCCAAAAAAAAGGCGCCCTTTTAAAATTAAAATTGAAGAGGGGGTGAAGGGGCCTTTTTTGGTGGTGGGGGGTGGGAGTCACCTGTTTTGATGTTTTGACGTTTTCGTTAGTATGGGTGGCAAAGTCAACGTCCGCCGCTGGAGCCAAAAGATCTAGTTATTTCTTTGAGTGAAGGTGTTCTCACTAAATGGGATTCTTATAATTATAAAAGCATTAGAATGCATATTGTGTCTAATTTTTAGCGCCCCCCCCCCAAACA